TGGGGCGGGAGGGGCAGGGGGAGGGGCGGGAGGGGGTGGGGCGCGCGCAGCGCGCCGTGCCAAAAACACTTGCGACTTACGTGTTTAATCAACTTTACCGCGGGAAGGAATTTTCGTCCTCGAATCTGCTTGTATTATAGTATTTATTGGTTAGGTTACTAACTTATCATTCATCACATAGCCACCGCACAGACATCGAATGTCGCGCATTTTTACGTCATTATGCATGCTCGGTTATTATACACATTTAAAATTGGTGCGCTTTTTGCACGTAACCACATAAACTCTACGACCAATCACAGGATTATGTTGATAGAAGTGGTTCTGTGATTGGCGATACGCAGGTTACGCTTATGCAAGTTACGCTCCATGTGGTGCCACCCTTAAAATAGTGACTAACGTTAGAATTACTATAAAACAAACGAAGCGCATCACATTTGTTTGGAAAGTCGCATACACGTGCAATAATGTTAAGTTTGTTCGAATTTGCGCGTCTTCTTGATAATAAAGAAGAATTAATAGATTTTTTAATTCAGCATGGCGTATTAGCAAATACAATTAAGTGTAGTCGGTGCGGTAACGATATCAATATTAATAAAGATACATTAATATATCGATGTACAAGACGATCTTACATAAAGAACGTACACAAGAGACGTGTTTCCAAGATGTGCAACTTCTACAGAACTGCTAGAGTTGGTACTTGGTTCCATCAAAGCAATTTAGACATTGCTACTATCTGTAAGATAGTAGCATGTTTTTTGATGTTCCGGCATCCACGGCAGGACGACACAGTGGATGAAACTGGCGTAGCGCGGGCCACAATTGTAGATTGGTTCAGTTTTTGCCGAGAGGTAAATATATCTTCATTTATTTTAATAATTGCACTGCGTGTTAAAAAAATAAAATTAATGTAGAAAACTAAATGTTAATATTCTTTGCAGGTCTGTGTGTTCTGGGTAGACAAGCATAGCGAGAAGCTCGGTGGCCCAGGACATACAGTTGAGATCGACGAGGCAAAAATTGGAAAAAGAAAATACAATCGTGGCCGACTCGTTAAAGGGAACTGGATTTTTGGAGGATACGAGCGAGAATCAAAGAAAGTCTTCATCGTTCCAGTCGAGGATCGGACAGAAGAGACACTCCTGAAGTGTATCAAGGAATGGATTCTGCCAGGAACCACCATCGTGTCAGATTGTTGGAAATCCTACAATTGCTTAAACAATGAAGGCTTCCAACATCTGACAGTGAACCATTCCTACAATTTTGTCGATCCTGAGAGTGGTGAGATATAAAAATATATTATATATAAATAGCAAATTATATTATTAATGTTGCTATGTTCTAATATATTTTTTTAATTTTCAGGTGCACACACTCAACATATAGAGCGCGTTTGGAGAGAGGTTCAGGGAAATATTCCAAAATACGGAACTAGATCCGAACATTATGTTGGATATTTGTCCGAATTTCTTTTCAAACGCACCTATAGCCGACTGGAACGCATTGAAGCTTTCTTTAAGACCATCGCGGAGCTGTATCCTCCAATGTCCGAAAACTTGCCAGCAGAATTCGAGGACCAACAGGAACCAAGTACCAGCACAGCTTGAAGACACATTTCTTGTATATGTTCTTTATACCATTTTTGATATCATTACCGCACTGACATTATCATTACACTTAATTGTATTTGAAAATATGTTGAATTAAAAAATCTATTAATCTTTTATACTTTAATTTATAATTTCGCGCACTTGTCTTAACTCAACGTATGCACAGCGCATATTTACGTCACTGCATATGATGTGCATTTAGTCCGATTTCGTCGGTATGACAGATTTCCTAACCCTAAAAGTTGTCAACTTTAACAATTAATATCTCGCTTCGCAGGGCAGAGCGACGATTTTGTCTAAGGAAAAAGTTGTTTCTCGTTAAAAAACGCGTCGAATGAGACCAAAATGATTGATTTTGGAGGTGATGTAGCTATTCTGAACAATTACCGAATAGTGTTCTTTATATCCCATTTCACGAGCACGATCTCAAAAAGACGTCTATCCTACTCGGCACTTCGAAACGTTATGGTAAAAGGTCAATAATGTTTATAAGATTCTTATTACTTTGTCATACATTTTCGATAAATTGTCTGTGTCATTTTGAAGGTTTATTGTCTTGTTATTCTTTTTAATGAGGACCATTTCAGCAATTTCTCTTTTCTTTGTCTGTTTTTCTCTGTGTAAAATTTTAGGGTTGGACCAGTCGAAGTTATGATTTAATAATTCGCGATGTTTGCTAATCACTGAGTGGTTATCAGCGTCTTTTTTAATATTAGATTTGTGTTCTTTTACCCGTGTTTCCAAGTGTCTTTTTGTTTGACCGATATAACATGCGTCGCAATTGTCGCATTCTAGCATGTAAACTAACTCGGTTTGTTTCATGTTAATGAGTGGATCTTTTCCTTTTTTAATCACTGAGTTGAGTTTTTTGGGACAGTATACACAGGATCGAAACCTCGGTCTTTTAAAATTCTGTGAATGCCTTCGCTTATGTCTTTAACGTATGGAACCGTTACAAAATTTTTATTGAGCAAGAATTTATTCGTTTCATTATTGTTGTTCATATCGTTTGTAATATTCCTGTGTTTTAATTGTTTTAGTCTCTTATTAACTAGTTTATTGATTATTTGTGTTGGATAACAGTTGTTAGTGAGAATGGATTTTACTATGTCTATGTTTGAATTATGGAACCGCTCGTTGGATAACAGAATGGCACGGTCGACTAAATTAGTTACAATGTTCGCTTTGTAGTTAAATGGGTGATTGGAAAGAAATTTCTTTCCAATCACCCATCCATTTTCGTAATATACATGAGCACACGGACACACTACTACGATACATCACACCCATACATAAACACGAAAGTTTAATACTAACTATACTCTTATTTTAAACGTCTAATCCCAATTTAGAGGGTTTCACAGTAATTCTACATGTCATCGAATCCAGGGAAACTCAGTTTCATGTGAGTACAAGTTGTAGAACTTTTATACGGTAAAACTTCGGAAACACGGACCCAGCCCCAATGACCTTGACCTTGGCATATGTTGTCAAGGTCACCTTACTGAGTGACCTTCAGAAGGTTTTAGCCGTCGCTCGTTGTTTGTTAAAAAGTTATAAAGAAAAGAAGTTTCGCAAATGCTATGTAGTTCACGATATCGTGTACGTTTAGGATGGCCTCACGTGGAAAGTTTCTGACACCATATACAATTCAAAAAATGTATAAGTGTCTTTGATATTATTAAGCATACGAATGAGAGTAAGCTATCCACAGTAACATCACAACAAATCCCTTACAGTCGAATTTCACTCGTCAAGCTTACGACTCGCGACGTGCTACTAACGTAAGATGTTACTTCACGAGTTTCTTCATCTCACGTATAAAAAAGATGAGCTCATTAGATATTTGAGCGAGAAAAAAGTAATTCGCCAAGACATTGAGTGTCCACAGTGCAAAAATATTGTGAATGTGACATACGAGTCAGACAAACACGTTCTACACTGTACCAATAAATACTACACGCAGATATTTACAATATATATTTTCCGTTATTATATCTGCCATATATCTATTGACC